AGAGAGAGAGAGAGAGAGAGAGAGAGAGAGAGAGAGAGAGAGAGAGATTGATTGATTGATTGGTTTTATTTAAGCCATAGTCAAGACTTTAGGCTATAGTGAATTAACAAATATATAAATGTATTGTCACGTTCTGACTGTTATTGTTCGTCCGTTTGTTGGTCAATGCATTTAAGCAATTTACCAGGGATTTGGACAAGACGTGTGAAGGATATTATTATTATATTTATTATTCGGGACCAAAAATCTGAGTTTATATATACGTATGGTAACGAGGATCAGCTTTATTTATTTGATTATAATTAGGATAATCAACGTCGAAATCGACAGGAATAGGTTTAAAGGGAGGTGCGTTTTCTAGTTGTTGCAATTGTTGGAGGAAGGGGAGAGGATCTTGATTAGAAATGACTGCTTGTTTGATCTGGAATCTGATTCGTTTAATTCGAACGCGCCTACCTCCTTTCTTCGTCATTCGGCCGCGTTCACGAAAATGAATTTTAAGCTCGCCACACTCTTCGGCAGCGCTCTAAAACCAATCCGCCACACCCTCTGCTCGCCACACTCTTCGTTAGCGCTCAGATTGTCAGCGTAGAGGTCAAATTCACTTTCGGGAATTTATCGAGATTATTGTTTTTTTCTGGAAACCAACTCCGTAATCGCCACGGTTTCGACAGCGAAAGTACCGGATCGCCACACTCTTCGTCAGCGCCCCAGCACAGATCGCTACGCTTTGTCGGCGGAAACTGCGAGTCGAAATTCCAGAAGTGACAGTAATTATTACGACTCCCAAGAATCAACCCCGTAATCGCCACGCTTTCGGCAGCGAAAACTGCGAGTCGAATCTTAGAAGTGATCAATTTATTGATTAAAAATACGAAATGAGATTCCAGATTTTTACACTTGTTCCTTTTTAAACTTATCTTACCTTTATTCTAGAAATCTCAATACAACTTGTGCGTGAAGCGCGGTCTTATAAGGTATGAGAGTGTAGGGACTAAGTCCCAGAATTGAGCGCGAATGCTCGACTTAGCGTATAGCGGAACGTAGGAAATCGAATAAGGTTAGGAGAGAGTCTGAGAAATTACGTCTAGTCAAGACCGAAGTTAAAACTTATCTGCTTTCCGCGGCGTTTTTCCGCCCTATTAAATAATAATATGTATAATAAAAATAGAATATGATCAGGAGCAAGTAATACTAAAGAGAACTAAATAGTGTATATAAAACTAAGAACTAAGGCGCAGTGCAATTTACAACTAATAACGAGGAAAGAAAGCACTAGAAGCCCTAAACCAGAAACAATATTATCCAATTTCACGTGTAAGCAAGTTGATATGTCATGAAGGGAAGTAGTATTACATTGAGCAATATGGATAAGAGAAGAATTTAGGGCGGCAGTGTGGTCTAGTGGTAGAGCGCCAGACTCGTAATCTGAGGAACCAGGTTCGAGTCCACTAGAGCCATGAAGCATGGAATGTTTTTCCGATAGCTGCGCCCCTCCGTGCAAGATAGGCTCTTGTGTGGAGAAAACTGGGCTCCGTCTTTCGGAAAGAGACGTTAAGCCGTTGGTCCAAAGGGTTAAAGTGAGAGGAGAAGGATATAGTCCAGTCAAAATACGGAAAAAAGGGGGAGTACACTCTTAAGCATGTACCGCGTAGTATCTCCAAATTCGAGGTACTAATTTCTAAATGGAAATGACATTTGGAGTTACATGCTGCTAGGAGATACTTTTCCCGGTACAGTAGCACGAGGTACGGAATACACGAGGTACTGATAAAGGAGGAGGTACCGATTGGAGGTACCGCACTTATAAATTCACGGTACAATTTTTTAAGAGATACAGTTTTAGGAGGTACAGTTTTTTAGGGGGCTTCCCGTATGTACCCCGTACATACGTACCTCGTACGTACATATGTACCTCGTACAAATGTGTACCTCCTACATATATACCTCGTACAAAAGACATTCGCGAAGCACTCGACGCGGACGCGTGCACGGACGTGTCATAGGAGGTACAGTTTTAGGAGGTACAATTTTTTAGGGGGCTTTCCGTATATACCTCCTACATACGTTCGTATACGTAGCCAACCATGGCATGATCGCGACATTTGTTGAACGAAAGACATTCGCGAATAGCAGCGGGCAATATTATATCATATATCCAATTCGAAACTTTATTACTGTTTTTAAACTGAATTTGTTTCTTAAGATAATTTTTGAAAAATTATATATTTGCGCTGGTATGACATATGTAGACTATATATAACGTTTACTTCAAATTAAGAAGTAGTCGACCACGTAAAAGGCAGTTGGCTCACGATGCAGAGGTCCCGAGTTCAAATCCCACCAAGGTAAGTGTGTTTTTCAAATACAAAAAAATATTTATAATTATAGACTGCATCTTAAAAAACAAATTTAGTTAAAAAATAATAATAAAATTTCGAAATAAATAATTTTTTTTGTCGGGTGAATATTCGTTGCCCATAACGTACTTCCTAACTTCGAGGTACCATGTACCTCCAATTTTTGGCGACACATGCTTAAGAGTGACTTATGTCCCTCGTAATTACGTAGGGACAAAATTTCAACATGTACCTCCAATTTTTGGCGACACATGCTTAAGAGTGTACCTAGAAAAAATTGCAACACAAGGTTTTATTACGTCATTGTGTTCAGAAAAATATACTGAACAACATATTCAAATTCTGCCATTTTCCGCTATCCCTAAGTATGTTTTTTATTAACAATTTATAAACAAATTCGTTTTTCTCTACAAATACGATGAATTTTGAAATTTTTGTAGAGATCAAAGTTGTAGAATGGCCATTCCTTACCCAGACATACTTGTACGACCTCTCCTTAGCAATGCTCTTAGCCCGTTGTAATATGTCATAAGTGCTCTTAGATAACAACTCATTTACATAGATGTTACAATCCA